ATTTCATTTTTGGCCATCTGTAATTTGTATGCAAAGTGAGCTATTATCGGTGCATGTGGCATGCGGCATGCGGCGTGCGGCATGCATGCATGCCCCCTATATACAGGGGCGTGGCAGCATGTTTAAATTTATACAAAAAGGAAAAAATGCAAATCGGCGTCGGCAACAATTGGAGCAGACATTGTTTCCAGCGGCAGCAACAGCTACGATTAGCCACACGAAATGCAAATATTTAGCACAGCGCGTCAGGAGTCGCCACCAAAGTTGGCCACATTAACTGTAACTGTTAAATGCAACTATATATATATATATATATATATATATATATATATACGGAGGCTACAAAGCCAGCGATTAGCGCGGACACGCCAGCACTTGAGGCTTAGCTGCCGCACTTCGTCCTCCCCCCCACGCCAGTCTGCTTATGTAATTCGCAGGCAAGACTCTAATTCTAACAAGTAGCAGTGCTCCAGACGGGATTGCACGACTAATAAATACCCTAAAATATGTCTGCTATTTCCTTTTCCCTATCGTTTGATCTGCAACCCAGAATATATTATCCAAATGTTTGCAAATGCGAAATATATCTTTAGGTTTTGAAGGAAAGCGAAGTATTCTTGATCTGTGTATACCATACGGGTATCTACGTACAAAATTTGTTGTCTCGAGTTTTGCATGGAAAACCTCTTTTTAAAATCGATATTTATCGTAAGGCAAATAAGCAATATAAGGTTTAGCAGTTACAGTCCTCTGCCAAGTTTCATACATTTTGTATAAAATAAGCCCACCATTTATTTGTACACATTTCTAGTTAGTACAGGGTATAAATATGCCATGCAAGCATGTGGCACGAAACATGGCAAGCGTCGTGGCAAGCCACAACCAGGCAACGTCCAAAGCGCAGAGGCCTTTCCGGTTCATGTTACGGCGGCGTCTGTTGCATGTTTAAGCTGAAAATTGATATTAAATGCTTTGGCATAAAAAACATCAAATGATTTCGTTACAATTTCAGGCCCCCGCCTTCTATTCCACCCAACACGCTCTCTTTAATAATGAAGGTATTTTGGCCTGGCCCGAACCCAGACGACGGCTGCTGATATATGCCGTGCCATTAGTTGGGCCTGCTGATTGTGCAAGAAATCCAACACTTGGCAACACATTTACCAACACTTGCGCTTACCTCTGCTTGGCCACAGTCTGGGCGGACTCTCTTCAACTGACCTGGCCGATTGGTCAGACGCTGCAAATTAATTTGGGATTTTGCGTCTATTTGTTTGCCTAACACACTCATGCGTGTCTATCTCCTTCTCTCTCTCTCTCTCTCTCTCTCTCTCTTTCTCTCGCTCGCTCGCTCTCCCTTTCACATTCAGTTTGTGTCCATTTTGCTCGGCTAGCATTCATCACAATCACACGGCCGCTTGCAGATAAAATTTATGTGTCCTGGCGGGCCGCATGCATCCGTGAGCAGCGTCTGGACACAAACGGGCCACGTGGACATTTCAAATGCTGCCAAAGCTCAACTGACATTTGATATATTGGGCCAGGACGGGATACAGGATAGGAAACAGTTCCACCCAGTGCCACAGTTTGCCACAGTTTCAGTTGACATTTTGGTCCTTTTCGACAGCTTTGCAACATGCGAACACGTTTTGTACCTGTAGGCGAGTCTCTCGTCCTACCCCACCTCCTCTCTTGCTGTGCATGTGTAATTGCTGTGCTGAGAGCATTGTAAGAGGGCTTGTAAAAATTGTGTGCTGCCTGCTGCTGCTGTTTAATTGATGACAAGCGCTCGCCAGTGTGCAGCAATTGCGGTTTACTGAACCCGCATTAAAATTAAAGCAAACACTTTGCATTTAATTTAATGGAAAATTTTTAGCGATTCATTATATCAAATGCCTCTTAATGGTCTTTTTACGCCCAGAAAGGCGTGAGCGTAAAATAAATATAAATTTCTACGAACTACATATAAAATTGATGCCTCTCTATGCGATTTTCATGCTGTCAGCGGTGAGCGAGTCTACCCTGTCTCCCCGTGTGTCAGTGTCATTCTATCTTTTGCTCTCGCTTACACTTCCTCTCTCCATTTCTATCTTTTGCTCTCGCTTACACTTCCTCTCTCCATTTCTCATTCCCTGCCTATCCGTGCAGGAGAAATGCCTTTCAAAATGCCCGTTTTCCGATAAAACGCTAATCGCCTTTCTTTGCGATTCTCACAAATACAAGTACCGACTGCTGCACTTTTATTGTTTCATAAAACGTGTTGTACTTATATTTAATTTATTTGAGTGTAGCCAAAGCCTTTGCTTTGGCAAGCCATGTGACCGTTAGTCAGTTCGTATCTCACGTCTGTCGCACTGTTTGTCTGGCTGTCGTTTGGCACATGCTAAAACGTGTTGCCAAAAATGAAGAGATAAATGCAATGCGGAGGCACAAAGCGACGCCAACTCGAAACGTGCCAAAAATTAACAAAACGCTGGCCAAAATGCCGGACAAACAGCCTGCCACACAGATGCGAAGCCAAAGATAGAGATACACTGTGAGTCAAAGGCAGAGGAGCGGTGCGGGACGGGGCGGGTGGGAGGTTTATCTGGATGTTAACTAACCCGGACAAGTGTCAAAGCATTTAGCATGCGCTGAATTTTAATTTCACACTTTGCACTGCAATCAAAAGGAATTAGGCGTCAACAAAGCGATACGCCCCATTTTAAGTTTGATGGTGGAGAGGGCTGGGGGGGTGGGGCGATCGTGGTGTCAACTTTGTGCCTTTTGCATGCCACGTGGCACGCCCACAAAGGAGCTGCTGTTGACTGTAATTAGCACACTCTGATTTGTATTTGGCTAACAATAAAATGACAGCTTTTGGCCAAATGGCACGCAACGGGCCACGGGCCCAGCGACTGACCTGCCACGTCCGGAATGGGTCCGGAAATGCCAGCGCAGTTGGCGTGCGCTCATTTCGATTGCATGTCGCCGCCAGTTGCCAGTTGCCAGTTGCCAGTTGCCAGCAGCCCGGCCCGCGGCCAAAACGGCATACAACGCGCAATAAATTCCAATAAACGAGTGCAGCCTTGGCCAGCCACGCCCCACATCCCACGCCCCAAGTCCAACGCCCATTGCCACACTAGGTGGCAGCCGCTGGCCTCAACAGGTTTTTTCGTTCATGCTGCAGTCGCCCAGAAATATGATAGCCGCTAATTAACGCCCTCCCGACTAGTGGCAGGCGGAACGGAAGCGAGCACATAACTGGGGCACAGGGGGCGTGTTCAGGTTGGGGGCGCGGAGAACATTCGCGGTTCATTAGGAAGGCTACGATTGTGTGTGCCGCATTTTAAGGCGAGCTGTGCCGTATTTTACCCGCTTGAATATGGTCAACAAGGGGTATAATTGCATGGTGCACATATATGTAACAGGCGGAAGATGGCATCTGCGGATGGAGCCGGATAATGTATAAGCTGGCCAGGTCCGTCTGTCATGAACGTTTCCAGTTCGGAGCTTACAAGAACCATTGAAACATCAAAAAACAAGAATATTTCACTTCGTGGTATCCCCAGCCTGAGCTTTGGTATGTACAAACTTTTGTCTGGCATATTTAAGTCCTCAAGAATTCAGAAAGTTTGGACTATGAACACGCAAATTAATCCCAGAGTGAGGGGTCAACAGCATAACAGCATAAGAAGCACAGCTGACAATGCTTGCTCCGTTACTGGGTATCTCCGAGTCGGGCATTAGTTCCCAGAGCAGCCTAAATTGTCTTTTTTGTTGGTTAACTCGAATTTTATTTCATTTGCTTTCACTGCACAGCTGAGGGCAACGGGCAGATGCGGCAAAAAGAATAAATGAGCTCGGCCAGGACTAATGGAAAGGAGTTTATAATAAAGGCAACTTGTTACAGAATAGAGAAAAAATTAAAAATAATTAAAAAAAAGGCAAGTCTCATGAATAAAAACGACGCGTGCATGTCTGTGTATACGTGTGCGTGCGTAAGTATGTGTGTGCGTATGAGAGCCGGCGAATGCAATAGTAATTGGCAACTCTACAGCACACGTTGCGTATACGTCATGTGCCGTATAAGAGTGCGCCGTGCGCGTATAAGAGCGCGCTTCGTGACGTAGCCAGCCGCGATTGTGCCAGGCGCGAGCAGAGGGAGGCTGTGTTTTCACTTTCAAAGGTAAACACCACACACACACACACATACGCACACACACACGCGCATAGGCAGCGCGTGTAGATTTTTCAGGGCGAAGCGAACAAAAGAAGAAAGTGTAACAAACACGCAAACACAGGGCGAAGGCAAACGAAGCAAAACGCCAAAATGAAAGGCAAAAAACACTTTTTGGTGGGCATGGCGCGTGAAAAGGGCGTGGAGTTGGCGCAAATGTTGCCAGAACATGCAACATGGTATCTGCAAATCCGAAAAGTCAGCGACAGATAAAACACGCTCGAAAAATGAAACTGAACGCAACTAGGAAGAGGAAAACATAAAAAAAAAGGACAAACATTCGACAGAAATGTCAAGTAAACAACTGTTTGGGGCTTGGCTGTGATTTCATATTTTGTGCGGCATTTTATTAATATATATAATTTTAAATATGTATGTACGCCAGTTTGCTACATTTGCGAGCTTTAATTTAATCAATTTGATAATTAACAGCTGCTAACTGGCCACTCTGATTATAGCGCTAAAGCATTCGTCTAATAATAGCTTTACTGTTAACAGTACAAATAGATCAACTCTAGATGCTCAATGTTATTAACAGTCAGATGTAAAATGCTCACCTACAGCTAATTCATTTTGCTAGAACTGCACCTGCTCTTTAAGTTAACAGCTCTGTAAAGCGAGCAGAAGCTTCTTTGGTATTTAAAGTATTTGATGGAGGTATTTAAATGATCGCGTTAACTGGTCACACTAGTGATAATACAAGTGGTCAATTAAAGCGACGTGCAAGTGAAAAACCATTGAAAACATTTAAAAGCAACTTGAATTTAATTAATTTTTGCAACAATTACATTGGGAATTCAGACACCATGCAAGGAGAGTTGGGCAATGGAAAATGTGTAAGCCTCTGGCCAGGTTGGACGCGCAAATTGCTGCTCGTTGGATCCTTGCAATCTGCGGCTTTTGTCAGTTGCCGCTAGCCCGCGGCACCAAAGTGCATTGTGGCACAATTTGTATTGCTTGCCCCACCGCCCGCAGCCATTCCGCTCGCCCCCGCACCCCCGCCACCTCCTCGCAGCACTCCATGTGCAAATCATACTGCAGAATGCGGCTGCGCTACATTAAATTTCAATTTCATGTTCATTTATCGCGACTTGAAGGAGCCCAGGGTCTCTGAGTGCGATGGTACGGTTCGCGGGAGGCAAGGGTGGAGGCGTGGCTAGAGGGTCCTCTGCTGCGTTTCGTGCTGGGCACGGAAGTCACAATGTCAGTGGCTGAACTTAGCCAAGGCCGCAGCTAGGCGAAAAACTTTTGGGCCAAGTGCGCCAAACTTGTGCGTATGGTGAAGGGGGGGGGGGGGGGGGGGGGGGGGTGGGCGGAATGGAAAGGAGATGCACGGTAGTTGCCTGGCTGCCAGCGAGCGATAGCAAATGCCGCGTTTTCGCAAGTGTTTGTCAAGTAAATATGTAAAACCAACAAGCTCACACACACACACACACACACACACATATACATATGCATGTTGCATAAAAATTAAGCAAACTGCACTTGTAGCAGCAACAAAAACATCAGCAACAACAACAACAGCAAGTCGCAAAAACTTGCTGCCCAGATCCAAAAATGCAACAGTCGACAGCAACTTCCGCTGTGCGTCACGCCGGCTGCACAACCCACTTCGACAACACCAACGTGCCCCAACGCCCTTCGAGCAGCAGGAACAGCAGCAGGAGCTGCCTGACTGGCAACAGCTACAGTCGTCGCTCGATAAATGCAACATCCACGTTTCAAACAGGTTTGTTAAAAGTTCTGTTTGTATTAGACTTATTATTTTAGTGTAAACATTTAGGATTGCGTGCTGTAAAGCTGTACGGACTGACTGATTGATCGATTGACGGATTTGTGATTAACGCACAGAACAGCACGAAAATTGCTATAATTTATCTAAGTTAGTTGTAAGCTAAATAATGCTTACAGAAAATTATTACCGGATTTCAATTTCAGGAAAATGCCTATTTCCGAGCGACGCCTGTACCAAGCAACACAAAAAAAAAAGGAAGAAACAATTGATGCTGCAAAGTTTGCAGCAAGTTTTAGTTTTTTCTCCGTGCTTTTGTTGGTGCTGCTTAGCCGAAGGGATTGGAGCATGTGCAAGTTGGGCAGCTGAAACTTTAAGCCCCAAACGTTGTCGCTGCTGCGTACGTGTTGGTGTTCATTACGTACGTGTCCTTTTTGCCATTTTACTCAAGTTGTCAGCGTGCCACGAGGAGCAGAAGAAGCGCTGCACATGGACACACAAACTTAAAAAACACGCACGTGCAAACTGAAAGGTGGATGATAAGATTTGACGCATTCTGGTATTTGATTAGACTCTAAGCAGGTAACGACATGTTATACGGGACATTCTCTATTTAGTTCATATTATTATTATTATAGCTACAGCTTAAAACTCTTGAGATGTCTTATAAATAACATAGAATGAATAATTTAATGGAGCTTGCTACTTGATTACAATTAATACAGGTGAGTTTTAATACAACCTTCTCTACTATGTAAATACGTTTGCAATATCAGAGTATAATTCATTTAACATAACAATATTATTGTAGTACTTTAAGCAAATTGCAAAGTGCTATAAATTAAGAGTTGTATATCTATAAGACTATTTCTACCTCATAGAATTGGCCAACTTCTGCTTTAACAACACTAACAGCTTACACATTCGGGCAGCTTACAATACTACACAAATATAGTTGAGAACTTTTACCAAAAGTGACAGAGCTATAAATTGTTAAATATTCTTTCGCAAGCCTGTAGGTCAGGTTACAAGAATTTCCTAGAATGGAGCGCTTTCTCAGTATATTCGAATACCCCGGAATTGCAAGCTTTCCACTATCAGTCTATTCGCACAGCTTGAAATTAGGCTCTTTCCCAGTACCAGTCTATTTGCATAAACTGGAATTGAGCTCTGTTGAGTAGCAGCCAATTCGCATATCCTAGAATTGGACACTTTCCAGGGTATTCTGATTTGAATAGCCTGACTATCTCTAAATATTTTTCTTAATTAACGCATATTTTGTCGGTGCAATTAGTGCGGCTGCTATGTTTGATTGCTATCTTTTGCTTGCACTTAAGTGGCAGGCTGAAGTCCTGCGTGCTGCCAGGCTGCCTGTTTGGTTGCCATTCAGCGTTGCCCTGCAGCAGCGAAATGTGGCGCAAGTTTCAAAGGCATTGAAAAGTGCACTTGACCGCAATATGCAAAGACTTCAGCCAGGTCCAACTTGTCGGGTGGTGCTTTGTGTGCAGCTTCTGTGGTGCTGGCTACAAAGGTGACAAGTGCTTGGCTACCTATGCGGTGTCAACAACTTCAAAATGAGTTTGTTGCCACACTCAAAACACAAACACACACACACACACACACGCAAGCACACAGTGTGGTCGTAAATTTACTTTTTATGTTTTGCGCGTTTTACGAGCTGTTTTTTTTTACCTGCAGCGCTTTAATAAACGCGTTTCAGCGGTTGTCGTTGTTGTTGATAGTGATGCCATTATGACTGCTTGGGGGCACATTCAGCGAGCGCTGCTACAACTGCAGTTAACACACACAAAAAAATACATACACACCAACACACACCCACTCAAAAACTATAGCATACTTTTGTGCGGCGCCCGCAGCTGCTGTCTCATTTTCTTTATCTGAGCTGCGGCTATCAATGTAATCAAAGCTTTGGCTTTGTGTCTCTAGAACTAACTGCCTTTTGGCCTGGTCGATTGGCGCGCGGAACGTTGCTTTTAATTGCCTGCTCTAAGTCGTTTTAGTCCTTGGAACTAATACAGCGCCATAAGCTCTTAATCATTTCAAGCAATTTGCGCACGTTCGCTGCAATTCAATTACAACTTTGCTTAACACACACACCTACACACGTTCACACAGCGGCATGCCACTATGTTCTGATGTACTTACAGTCCTGGCAGCCAGTGAGTGTTATTTGCACACACACACCCACGTTCCAACCCAGTAAAGTAGCTTTAAGTATGTCTACTGAAAGTATCTTATAGATACGTAGCCATCCAAGTTTTTGGCAGCCAAGTTTTTGCCAGCTCTTTTCACAGCGTTTTTAATCAGCCATTTAACTACTTTTAATACCCTTCGAATTGCTTGCAAAGTTTTTTAAACAATTCGAGCAGGCTTCAAAATGTTGCCCAAGCAAACAGCGTGCCGCCACTCATGTGGCATATTAGCCACTTCCCTTGCGGCCTGTGTGAGTGGCCACTCGAAAGTTTATTAATAATGTGTAGTGGCTAATAAAGACATACGCATATTTACACATGCAACAAACACGCACACCCACACACACACACACACAAATGTACACACACATATGCTGTTGCATATTTGAATCATTGGGCTTTGTGGCCTTTATGCCCTGCGGCTGTGGCTTATGACGAGGCTTATTGGATTCACGGAAATCTACATGAGTTACTATTGTCAGGTGCTACGCACAGTTATTGATTGATTTTTCAAACAGCATTTTTTTTGTTAGCCATATGAATTATGCATATGCCAAAAACCTGAGAGAGTTATTTAAAAAATGTTGCGAATTTAATGGTTTTTACTATAGTTTACGGCAAAACGGGGCCATATGGTTGAAGAAAAAAAAGAATAAATATATGCAAGCATTCATTGAGAAGAATTAATAACTTTATGATGAATGCATGTTATTCGCCACTTTTTTAATTTAATATTTGTCTGATTGAAGGTCTTGAGTCTTGAACATATACAATAAACTAAACTAAAAACAGGGCTCAGCTAAATATTTTTAAGCTACTAGTTTTATTTATTAATGTAAATGACATAAGGATTAATTAATTAATCCATTTATAAGGATTTTATGTTGACCTTCACTCAACATTTGGCAGAGGCGACAATTACTTTCGATAGTGTGTTTAGATGTTGCTCATGTTGTTGCTATATAATCTACCTTTTTCTCGTATATAACTGACCAGAGCTATTGATTATGAGCATATCCTTGAGATGGCAGGAAATTAAAAGTGTTGGCAAATATTTATGCATGACGCAAGATTGTCGAGAGGCTAGCTTGATTGTGACACATGAATGCTTTTTCTCTGTTTCTCGTTGTTTAATCCTCTTTCTTTTTATTTAATATTTGTTCTATGTTTACCATGGGACGTGCACAATGCGAGAATCTGTTTCCTTTACCGTTTTAAAGGTAAACTTTGTTGAAACTTCCCTCTCGACAGCTTAAAGTGTGAAAAATCTATATGTTCTACGCTTTGAGAGTCAGACTGATGTCGGGCATGAATACGAGATGAGCACTTTCAAAGATTAATCTGAAAAATATTTAAAAATTTGCCTGGCAGCCTTTTGTAAACTATTATTGGATTGTAGAAGAGTACGCTGCAATTGTTAACTGTAAAAGGTTTAGTGGGTTTTTTGTTTGTCGGTGGCAACTGCTGGCACCTGATAAGTTCAGCATTTGGTAGCGGCTTTTGCAACAATGTTGCAAGCAGCTGCATTGACAATGTTAGGAATAGCAAAACAATCACAAAATAACTTGAATAGAGTATGAATACGAGTGTGAGTGCGAGTGCGAGTGCGAGTACTCGAATACTACTGGCAGCCTGTGTAATACGAGTATTGCATGATGTATCGATTTTTTTTAGCTGTTGTTGTTTTAGGGCGCGTGGTGCCTGCCGCCTGCTGATGGTTGTTTGTCATTGGAAGCAACAGCAATTTCTGGGCCATTTGTCGGCTTTTGCCTGTTCCGGTGTTGATAATGCCAATGCGTAATCCATCTCCATGACACAGACGCAGCGCTGTTGCCACACAGTTGCCCCTTTTGCAGCGTATACGAATCGGACTCCGAATCCGAAACGGAGCTACATACACAGTTGACATGTGCACTTGAACTTTGGCCTTTGAATGCGCTAGCATTTGGCAACGTGCGTGCGGTTGACGGGGCATGAAAAGTTTGTCAATTTTGCGTTGAGTGCAAACAATCAAACTGCCCAAACAACATGGCGGCTGTTGTGGTGTGTGTGCGCGTGTGTGTGTGTCCAAAATTTAAATAAAACACACTCGAGCTTGATATAACACAATTTTAATAACTTTGACATCAAGTACACATCGAGAAATTGCAATGACACGCAGACGATTACAAATATACACACATAAACACATACATTTGCGAAGCTTACCTACTAGTACTTACTAGCTAAACATATGAGTAGTACGAGTATATATATAGCATATGATTTAATATGTATACATTCATTTAATATGCACATCGAAGCGTATTCGTATTAGTTGCTGCAACTGCCACAGCTGCAGCCAACTGCTAATATCATTGTTGTTGCACAGTTAGTTACCAAGCTGCAAGTTCATTTGCAATATGAACAAAAATTCAAATACATACTATATATATACACATATATGTAGAAAGGTGTGTGTGTGTAAATGTTGTCCGTTTCAGCACTTTGCGGTTTTTTTGGGTTTTTGTATTTTTGGTTACATGCCACTACAGTTGCCAGTTTGCTTACGTAGTAGTTCGAGGAATATTTAACAAAAGTTTGACTTTCAGTTATTGCCAGCTCAACAAAGTGTGAGTGCTACTCACACAAGCTCATCATCATGTGCATAAATGGGTGCATGAACGCATATGCTAGTTAGTCGAATAACAAATATTCTCACATTGTTTGATTATGCAATTATAGCAGACAATATATTATAAATTTTGCGTCTTCTTGTTTTTCAAATTTTATGCCCAGGTATTTGCACACTCAGATATTAAAATTGTGTGTTTATGTGTGTGTAAATTCGTTACAAATTATGTTGCGACGTGCCTAATTAAAATGTTGCCTTGACTATACCCTTGCAGAAGGTCTTATATTTGCTTGCGACTTTGTTTAACATATTGAAGCTTCGTTCCCGCATTTAGTTTGTATAGCTTTGATAAGGAAAAAGTGCTCAGTCTATGTAGTATTAAAATTGCTGTTTGTCTCTCAATTAAATTTTTATAAAATTAAAATCTATATATCAATTATACACAACAAACTCATCCTAGATCCTTTGTAGTTGAGTGGATCGGAGCACTATATCATATAGCTGCTATAGGAAAACAGCTCAAGCAATGCAATTCTGAGTTTTTATTATGCGCCCAAAACCTGAGCAACAGCGGACTACTATCTCGTATAACTCCTCCAGAAAAAATCATTGAAATGTTGATATTTTTTTTTAAACCTGTCTGCAAAAGTATTTAATCTACGGCAAGCCGATTATATATGTTTTCTTTTTGTTTTCATTTTGTAAGCTTATTAATTGAGCGCGAACAAAAGTTATTCTGGGCTTATGCTAAAGTCGCGCAACACATGGAACTAACACAGAAGTTGAAAGCGTACAAAGTTTTGGACCCAGCCTTTTCATTAACGGAAGATATGGGCAGGTTGTCGTAGACTCTGCTCTACACACACGCATACTAAAGAAATATTGCCAATCTTCCAAACTTGCTAAGCTTATATATCTATATATTGTAAGTTTCATACAATTCTTTAAGACACAGGGAAGACTTTAAAAACATTATAAATTACACATACATATACATATTTATATATATCAACTACAATACGCATACGAATACAATCAATTCTGTGTGTGTATTTGTGTGTGAGAGTTCTTACAGCTAACACTTCTATATAACATATAAAAATTGTTTTTTTTTTATTTATTTGCTTGTTGGTTTCTTGGTTTTGCGGTTACTGTTTTGGGGCACGTGTGTGTTACTCGTTAAGGTAGGTTAGGAATTACTTATAGAGTACATGTACTTAGGATTGTCGCTGCTAAAACATCGTCAAACGCGCTACAACTACAACTACAAATATGCCTAACTAATCTATAATCTAATGCAATCCCAATGTCAATTCCATATTCCATATTACCATTTCCATATACATTTCTTTTATCGTTTGTATTTACATACCACTTTATCGTTTGGTGTCTGAGTTGAAATCTGTTGAGTCTATATTTACTTGGGGCCTTAATGCATGTGCCATAGTTTAGTAACTTTCGCTTTCACCTTTTGTTAGGAGCTTACAGATACTGGTCCTCGTTGGTTTTCAGTTGAAATCAAATTTTCGCACTGCGCGCCCGTGCCGCATTCTTTCGGCCGAATAGAATGCGCTTAAAGGCGCGTCGGAACTCTGGATTGAAGATCGTATAGATGACCTATTGTTGGTAATGATAAGATTCCGGGAAGAGAAGAGATTGTAAATAGAAATTTAAGCTCTGCACAGTCGTAGCTAAAGTATGTGGAAATCCAGTTGGATGACCTAAACTAACTCAATCATCTAATTGGAATTCATTAGTTAGCAGTTTCTGTATGATTTATGATTGCCGATCTTACGATCAGGGCTAACTACAATATATATTTTCAGTTTTGGTTCTATGATCAATGTCAATAGCAGGCTTTATATGATATGATCTGATAAATGCACCATTAACAGTCTTTGAATTCAAAGCTTATGTAGATGAATAATGTCCGCAAATATAAAATAGTTTTTACGCGATATTCGATTGACACTTTCAGGTAATCAATCTTTCAATTAGGTTAGCTTACAGAAAATATGCTATTCGTCAAAGAAGCTTCCCTTTTTCGTTTCGTCTGGATTACTGATTTAAAAGAGCCAATCAATTGCCAGAAATAATGATAAGTTTTAGCTAGCTTCATGGTTGCATTTGCATCCATAGCAGATCAATCATTTAATGAGAATTATTCAAACTAGACTCATTTGTTACACTCAGACAAAGAACTGTGCCCCTGTTATCAATGACGTATTGCCATGGACAGTTGGACAAATCTGTTGGTCTTTTCGATTTCAACCCATTTACGTACCGGATTGAGCGTGGAGTTGAAGTAGCCCAGCCAGAGGATGAGGGATGCAACTGCTGGATGAATTTCGCAGTCCTTGCACAGGCTCATTGTGAGCGCCATAACAAAGAAGGGCAGCCAACAGATGACAAAGGCGCCGGTGATGATGGCCAATGTTTGCGCTGCCTTCCGTTCCCGTTTCGCCTCCAACAGCTGGCGTCGCTTGGCCAGCTTCTGGTGTGGATTCGCAATGCTGGCCAGCACACCCTTACCAACACCAGCTCCAATGGGACTGTTGCCGCCTCCTGCTGCTGCCGCTGCTGCTGCTGCTGCTGCCGTCTGCTTGCTGGCTGCAATACCACCCATGGCGATGGACTGCGCCAGCGGCGTAATGGCATTCAAATGGGAAGCTATTAGATGCTGCTGTGTGGTGCTGGACACCTGCTGGGATAGTGTTATGATTTCGTTAGCATTGCTCGTGCGATACTGGAAAGAAAGAGAGCGAGCAAAGGATTGGAAGACAAAGAGATGCAACGAAAAGGTGCACACACAAAACAAATGAAAACAATTAGCGTCATATTGTGAATAGTTGAGCTGCTGACCAGTCGTCCAGCTGCCCAGTTCCAGCACTGCAGCTACTTACGTCATCCGCATCGCTGGATATGGTCGTAAGCTCGGTGCCCGCGTGGCTCTTGTTGTCGTAGTTGCTGGTGCTGAACTCCGTCTCCTCGCGCGTTATCGCCAAACTGGCAAAGTCCACGGCGATTGCGGCCATCGAGCGGGCCACTGCTCCCTCGGAGCCAGCCCTAATGTTGGCCGTATTCGAGTTGCGTCCAAAGCAAATCTTCATGCGTTTACGTGGGCATCGCTGCAGCTGCCCGATGCCATTTTCCGTGTCTTGCAGTGCGCGTTCCTGTTCACGCTTTGCCACGCGCCGTTTGCCGCGCTCCTTGTGCACGTCACGCGCCGTGGAATCGCACTGGAAAATTTAATTATATTTTCCTGATAACAGTTGAAAATTAATGCGCCCCCTCACTTTTATAACATTTGCCCATTCCATTTTCCCATTGAGCTATTTACGTGTTTGATTTAGAAGATGTCTAAGCATTTCTAGTTGCTCCCCCAGGGCACATTTTGCTTTTAGCTCAACATTTGCACGGTACAAATAGCGTTCTTTCACCAAAATGCCACGCCCACACACACAGACTAACGGAACATGGCATAAATCCTAGGCTGCGAACTTTTTGGCTGCTTCAAGTGCTCACTTGGGCCTGCCCTAATGGCTAGCAAAGGATTCGCCATTATCATTTCAGTTAATGACACGCTCATTATGGCTACAAGCCGACAAGCCCAAATTTCATTAGACGACGCTCGCTGCGTATGCGTAATATTATTAAACATTTGTCAAGCCGGAACTAGCAGAAATTTATCACATTAATTGTGACCAGAACCCATTTCCTGTCCCATTTCCCTTTTGGATAGCTCACCTCGGTTTCAGTTAGCGTCACATTGAAGGACTTTTGTGTGCGACGCTGAATGCGCTTCCTTGCAATCAAATAGATTTTCCAGTACAAAAACAAAATGACCAGCAACGGCACATAAAACGTACAACATGTGGCAAATATCTGCAGTAGACAAGGATTAAATGGCGAAAACGCCGCGACATGACTAATGCAGACGGCTACCTGATAGGCCACATCCTGCGAGACCATGCAATTCTGCTCCTCGATGCGCTTCATGTAATCCGGATCCTTCCAGCCAAACTGCGGTGCCAGCGACACTATCAAAGCGGCAAACCACACGCAGAATATCATAATGAAGACACGCCGGGGCGTTCGCAAATTGTTGTAATCAATGTTCGTAACGGTCCAATATCTGCGCAACCGCAAGATGGGAAAGTGAACCATAAATTAGCCGTTAACGAAAGCGAGAAACGTGCAAAAACTGTGATTAAGCGGGTGATGAGTAGCGAGTACCAATCAACTCTTAGCGAGTAACGAGTAATCAGTAACAAATAACGGGTAAAGAGTGTGATAAAGTTGCTAGTGCCTAATAAACTAAATTAATATGTAGCGATCAAGGAGAAACGAATAACGCGACGAGAGTATCGAGGAGCGAGTAATGAGCAACGAGTAATAAGTTGCGAGTAACGAGTAAAAAATTGTGATAATTTAGCAAGTAACGATTTATGAGTAAAACGTAATGCGAGTAACCAGCAAACGCTTGATTAAGTAGCGAGTAACGAGTAACGAAATGCGGACCACGCTCGGTACACAACTCACCTGTCCGCTGCTATGGCCACCAGGTGCAGTATGGATGCCGTGCAGCAGAGCACATCGCACGATGTCCAAATGTCGCAGAGTTCCGGTCCCAAAATCCAGCCATTGCTTATCTGTGTTGTTTGGGTTAGACGAGTGCAAGGACATGGAATTTCAGTGTTTGCCGGCGGGAGTAAATGCAATTAAATTATGTCATTGCCTCACTGCTTGCCAAGATGACGCAATTTTACAATTAACAACGCGCAATGGCTCATTACGCATAAGCCCGCACACACACACGCACACACACACTCACACACACACACACACACACACACACACACACACAGACACACACACACGGACAAAGTCTTTCTCACTCACACACTCTCTGCAGGGCAAAGTCAACTCTTTGCTCGTAATTTCATTTGCACGCTTTTCATCCCAAGTTTCCATTAGGGTAATGAAGTTTGTGCCGTAGCAGTTGCAACAACGGCTGGCGACAACAAAGCAGTTGCACAAGAGCAACAACAACGACTTCAACTAGAATCTACAATAACAAGAACAATAACAATAACAACAACGACTTACCTCGTAGACGGCGCCAAGCGGCATGACGAGACAGGCAACAAATAAATCAGCAACTGCCAGAGATGCGACCAAATAATTAGCTACATTTTGCAAGTTGCGCTCCAGTATAATGGCAGCAATCACAAATACATTGCCTGATGCCCATGAAAGTGAGAGAAAAAAATATGGAACAAACATATATTAATGTGAAAAAATATATAGAATAGCATTATATAATATAACATCATCATAAAATTAATTTCATATGATTGCATCTGCGAAAATCAACTACAAATTGCTCTTCATGTGGGAACATGTGTTCGTTTTGGGTTTCATTTAATTATATTCTTCTTAATCCAAGCTGCATGTTATATTTGCCAAGAACTGTTGGAAATTTGATAGCTTGTAAGCTGTTAATTTTGTGCAGGGCTCAACTAAATGCAGTTGCAGCTCCTATTGCATCAGATTCATTTAAATGAATCAAACGTTGAGACTTTCTCTTAGGATCAAATAACTGACTTTTGGGGCATACATGAGAATTTCAATTAATTTGAAACCTTGATTGCAGCTGCAGTTGTTTGAACAACATTCTTAAAATGTCATCTAAAGTAGTCACTGGCATTGGACGAACTGTTTGACTATGCTGAATTCAATCAGCGGAAGACTCTCTGCTGCCAAAGAGCTGTCCAGAGTCGCCTCGCCTCTAATTGCGGGCAATCGTGCATGTGATAGCTCATGAATACCCCAACCTCGTGCAGATGCAGAAAGGAGGCGAAGAACTGCTGGCAGTGTGCTGCCAATCTCTGTGTGATGCAAATGATGCAGCTTGGCAAATTGTAATTGCCACGGCGGCATCTAAAAGTGTGTTGCCCCAGCTCTCCTAGCTGCCAGCCGATTGTCTGTCTGGGCTTTCTAGTTGTCTTCTGTCTGCTTGTCGGCAGTTTATCAAAACGTTTTGTCGTTGCTTGACTCGTGCCAGAAATGCATTTGCATATGCTGTTACCCTTGCCTCAGTCAAGATGTTACGCATACGCCACGTGTGCCACACGTGTGCGTATGTGTTGGCTTTTGCACTTGTGTGTGTCTGCGCAATTTCCATTTGACGCCTTGGCGCGCTTTTAATAGCTTTTCACGTGTCAATGCCAACAGAAAAAAGAAATTTAAAGACAAAAACAACAAATGTGTACATAAAATATATATATATGTACATATATAAAAAGAACGGCAAACATTTTGTAACATTGTTTGTCCTTGCTAGCAAGGACTCCCAGGCGATTCTTTCGCTTCACGCGCAACACTGGCCTGGCCTAAGTGCGACGTTTAACGCAAAGCTTTTTAACGCGCTCTAAACAAAAGTTGCCACGCTCGCTGCCTAGTTGCCCCCAATCAGGCCCCCAGCCCCAGTCCCAACTTCAGGTTCAGCTTCAGCTGCTGGCAGCTGGCAGCAGGCAGCAGGCAGCAAATCATCTTCGTAAGCCGAAAATCAATAAAATTTTCAAGCAGCGCAATAAAAATCTTCTGCATCATAAATTTCACTTCATTTACAGTTCACATCGGCGGCGATATGGAAACTTTTGCACCAAATTCCCCGGCGGCATAAATTGCGAGAATAATTTAATGGCCAGCCAAATCTGGCAGCATGCCCGACCACCCAAATGACAGCAGCTGCTTTAAGACTTAAATGGTATTTTGATAGAGTTTTCAGTTACTTGCCTATAATGGTGACGAGTATCATTAGGCCCAACACAACGGTCATGGCAATCATTTTGACCAGCAGCCAAAACTCGGCTGCGGCACGCTCATTGGCGGCACGTTGCGCCTCCTCCAGTTGGGTTATGTTGCCGCCTGCATTGCTGCTGTTGCTGACGCTGCTGCTGCTGTTGTTGTTGCTGCTGCTGCTGATGGTGATGTTGCTGCTGTTGCTGGTGATGTTGCTGCTGCTGCTGCTGCTGATATTGCTGCTGTTGATGATGTTCCAGTTGTTTTGGCTAATGTTGCTGCCATCCAGCTGGGTCAGGCTGCCATTCAGTTCAATGAAGAGGCTCTCATTGAACAATATTGCTGGCAGTTCTATTTCCAAAATGCTTGGAACATCACCAATTGTCCCAAACTCGAGCATTGTGGCTGGCGTTGTCATTGTGCTAAGCATAATGTACACGGGTTGCTGTTGTTGGTATTGTTGTTATTTTTGTTGTTGCTGCTTGTTACTTAACGCCTACTTTTGCCGGTGGGCGTTTCAATGTATGTGCTAGTGCTTAAAACAGTTGCTCTTGCTGCTTCTGCTGCTGCTGCTTCTGTTGTTGATTTTGTTGCTGCGACAAGGCTCGCTGTAAGCGCCTTTGTTGCTGCTGCTGCTGATGTTGCTGGCGTCGCAGCTGTTGCTGTTGATTTTGTTTCAGTTGCCGCTGCTGTCGTTCGTGTTGCTGCCGTTGTTGCGGGTGATAAAGCGCCTTAATCGTGCTTGCCAAGCACTTAACACGTAAACTGAAATGGCGGGAGTGAGACAGAATTTCAGTTGAATGGCAAAAGCAAAAACTACGGGGGAAAAAAATCAAAAACAACAACAACCAACCGGCAACAGATAGAAAATAAAAATATTTATTTGATTTGGCCAACAGTCTCTGTTACCAGCATAGATCATAACGTGGCCAAAAGTAGCTAAAAATAAAATGGACAAATTAATTTAAAGTGTGCCTAATATGATTTAGCCATAAAGAGGAATTGCACAATAGCTGTAAATCGATTTTTTAATTGAATCACAGCAAGTGCTCTAAAAGTTTGTAGTGCAGTGTAGCAGCTTCTCTTTTAAAGCGAAAAGGTAGCTGATTTGAAAACTTTAGCTGGTCTCTCAAACTGCAGCGCTCTTCAATGCAATTGTTTTAATTGACTGAGATAGAATATAACAAAGAAAATCTGTTGTACTCTAAGCTTGTAATATAGTGTAACAGCACTATTGTCTGAGCAAATCAGTAGTTAAGTTGCAATTATCTATACATAATCAATTGCACTGAAAGCGAATGTAATAAGTTGTAAGTTTGTAGTGCAGTACAGCAGCACAATAAGTAATGTGAAAAATGACAGCTAATATGACTTGCCAATAACTCCCAAGCTGCTGCTCTCTCTCTCTCACCTGACGATATACGTGTAAATTATAAGCTATTACAGCTTAGAGTTTGTAGTGCAGTATATCAACATATTTAACTGCGCCACAGACTGCGCCGGTTTCCATCTGTCTATCTCCTGGACTGACCCCAGCTGATAGCTCCCTTATTGCAGCCTCTATTTATTAATAGTCATTTCGCACAATCCGTGCTTTAATTCATTTTAAAATGTTGATCGGAACACAACAAGTTCTGCTGCTGCTGCTGCTTTGTCTGCTGCAATTGCTGATGCCTGCTACTGGCGGTCGACTGCGTCCGTCGGTGGATCGCAATGGACGTCGTGTGTACTATGAGCCGGAGTCTCGCTCGGAGCTAAGAACGCCACTATTCCGCAGCTAAAACATGGCGATCTTTATCTAGTATGAACATAACAATAAAGCCAGGTGGGCAGACCTTAGCATAAGTGTAATCATTTAATATACACAGAGTGATGATCAAGACTCTCACCGCAAGAGTAATATGGGCGGAAACGTTGACTTCAACACTTGGTTCTTTATTCGTTCTTTTGTGTTTTCTTACCGATCTTGATGCAATTTTCAACAGTAGTTTCTGGACTGACTCCAGCTAATAGCTCCCTTATCTCAGCCTCTATTGATCTCCTGAACTGACCACAGCTGACAGCTGTCGCGTTGCAGACTCTATTTATTAATACCCTTTTCGCATCCGTGTTTTAATTTATTTCAAAATGTTTATCGGAGCAGATCAAGTTCTGCCTTTGCTGCAATTGCTGATGCCTGCTACTGGCATGCGACTGGGGCCCAAGAGGTTTGGGAAGAGATGCCCGTCTCGTTTTGAGCGCCAAGAGGCTTGCACGGAGCTGACATACCTCAACAGAATCATAGGAGTGTGTCATGTAACCGTTGTCTATGTACGCCTAGAACAATAAACCAGGTGTGCAGACCTTTGCATAAGTATAATCATTTAATAAACATAGAGTGCTTCTCTCTCTCTGTGTGTATATGTAGGTGTGTGTCTGTGTGTGTGGCAGCACCACTTGCCCTTTTGTGTGCATGAGAATGCAACACATTAGGTGACCTTTGTCTGTGTCAAGGTGCACTGCGAGCAGCCGCCCAAGCAACAATCTAACAAACACTAAACAAACACTTGCTCTCATCAGTGTCTGTGTGTGTTTGTGTGTGTAACACACACATTTACAAATGTGTGCGGTTGCAGGCAGCAAAAGATACACACAGACTAAGCAAACTGCTGCTGGCTCACTGCGAGGGCTGCTTATTAATCTCCTTCTTTTAATTAAATGTCGAATTTTAAAAAGAATATTCTCATTAATTTTGTGGAAAATGTGCTGAGCATCAATTGATTAAAAATAGGGATCAACACACATCCCCAACCGTAAAAGGTGACTATAAAAGTGTAAATGTAAGCTATTGCAGCTCAGAGTTTGACATTCATCTGCGCCACAGACTGTTTTGCTTTCCATCTGTCTTATCTTCGGGGCTGACCCCAGCTGATACTTAGCTACCTTATCGCTTTATTTTTAATAACCATTTTGCACTATCCGCGCTTTAATTTATTTCAAATCGTCGATCGGAGCACAACGAGCCGAAACATGGTAGTGTGTCATGCAATCTTTGTAAATGTATGCCTTGAACAATTAAGCCAGGTCTTCAGACCTTTGCATAAATGCAATCATTTTCATACTTTAATTAAATGTTGAATTTTTGTTTTGAATTTAAAATAGTTTAATTCTCGACGGAAGAGAAGTCGAATTGATCCACAAAGAAGTGTTCGGCTGGAATTCCAGGCTAATTTGGATGTGTTATTGGCATAGCCTAGACTAATTATTATAAGGGTAAATAAAGAAAGTTATTATAGCTTTAAGCAGAGTCTAGTCATAGATTGAAGCCATGCTGCGATAGACAATAATACATTAGCATAAATGCGACTTTCGAAATTAAGAATTTAAGCACTTGAAGCTTTTTTGTCCTTAATTTTACTAAAATACCAATGCATAAATGCTGCAATTTATGTGGCAGCCCTCGTCCCGGCTATCAAATGGTTTGGGAGCTCTGCGTGATGTATATGTATGTGTCTTTTGGGTTTGCATAGACGGTCTAAAATGTTAATGCCGCTAAACGACAAGGGAAATGGAGGCCAGCAAGCAGCAGCAGCAGCAGCAGTAGAAATAGCAGCTATAGCAGGGCGATGCGCCCAAGCAGCTCATGTGTGAGAAATATTTTCATAGTCAAGGTAATCGCCTCCGGACCCACCTACCCAAAGCCACGCCCTCAATTCACATATGCAACGCCTTGGTCCGGACCATGCCCGTCCCCGTCTGGCTATTAATAAATACAACTAAATGTTTGTCAGATGCGCAGAGCTAACTTTTATTTTATTTTATATTATTTTTTTATAGCCGTTTTCCATTCTCATCTCTTATTTGGCTGCTACTTTTGCTTTTGCCTTGTGCGAATCGCTTTTAATTATGAACTGCGAGTGCTTTGCTAATGTTTTTTGCCTTAGTTGTCGTCGTTGTTGTTGTTGTTGTTGTTGCTTTATGGCAAGGCTGCGCTGTGTACAGCATAGGTACAAGGGCAGAGCTCAGGCGCAGCGTGCGGAGGCGCTTGTCAGCCGCAACATGTAAAGAACAAACAACAAAAATACACAAAAAATATTTAAAAAAGTAAAAAAAATATATGGGAAACATTTTTGCTGACGTTTGCAGTCAGCTCGCTGAGGGGCATAGTCCGAAAATCGCGCGTTTGCTTAACAGGCTCAGTGAAGCATTCGGAATCCTTTCACGCGGGCAACACACACACACACAGAGAGACAGTCAGACAGACAGAGAGACAGACACACACGCACACTCGCTCACACTTGAATTAATTCATAGTCTAATAAATATACAAAAAGTTTTGTGTTGAATGCCTGAAACTGGCAGCGCCTTTTATGCTGCCAGATCCCGCAGCAGCCACACCCATTCGCTCCCCCTCGCCCCCCCATTTCCCGCCCGCGCACCTAGTTGTCGTTGTGTCAGCATAATCTTTTGCTAGCCTTTGTGCCGTGCAACTCCCTCCCTCGCCCTACCCTCGGTTTTCTCTATCGTTCTGTTAGTCGTGTGGAAATTTGAAAATATGTGAGTGTGTGTGTGTGTGTGTGCGTGTGCGTTGCACACAAATTTAATTCTATTTGCTTTGTCCATTGCGCCAGCCAACTTTGAATCCTGGCAGCGCTCTCAGCGCTGAGCGAGTGTTGTCCTGCACAATGTGCCAATTAGAAGTGGCTTTTTATTAAGCAAAATGTTCTAATTAAATATGTATATTATATTTAGGTTGTTAAATGCTCGACAATGGCCACTCAACGCTCAAATGCACAGATTCACTGGACAAATGGCAAATATGTTGCAAATTGTTTAAATGCATCTTTTATGTGGCCAAATGGCTTCTGAATGGTCATTTCCTTGCTTTTCCGCTCCCTCTCTTTCGCTCAATCTGTCTTACTTCTGCGGTAGACATGGCCCACAAATTGATCTGAAATTGAAATCGTCTGATATTGTGGCAAAACTTTGCTGCTGCTGACAATGGCATAAGTCTGACAACAAACTGCACTCAAGCGCATTTCCAACTTTGCCACACGGCCATAAAGTTTGCCAGGCCTGTCAACTAATTGGACAACGCCTGCAACTCCACTTTATAGTATTCCGGTGCAGAGCGAGAGCGAGAAAGAGCGAGAGTTGGTAATTGAACTAATCAACTGAGGCGGACACAGCCATAAAACTTGTAACCAGCCAAAGACCTGAGGCCTGGCAATTTTCCATTAGCTCAACAACAGCAACAACTGCAATTGTGCAGACAAAACAATAATGCACTGCCGAGCTGGCAGGAACAGAAATCGAAATTTCGTGCGCCGAAAAAGAAATAGAAATCAATAAATAAATATCAAATTGATATTGAAGTGCTTTCATACAAGCGCTTTATTTCCGACCAAGTGTAAAGGAGCTATATAATAATATAATAGTACTGTTATTAGTTCGATTTGATATGATGTTGCAGTTATATTGGGAGAAAAGTGAAGCTCTTTATAGCTTAGTTTTGGCTAGATATGTTGCAAAACGGAACATATCGCCGAACACAAACACATTTTTGATAGATTTTCTATAGAGCTACATGATATATTAGCTCGATGTTAAAGAACATGCCTAACTTTGGTTTAGATATCTTGACAATAAAAAAAGTGTTAATTAGCGAGCACGTATTCCTACAACAGCTATATGATATAGAAAGCGATATATCCAATTTCGGCATGTATACCACCTGAAACAGAAGAATTATTTTAGGAAAAGGCTGCTTGCATGGAGAAAAGCAGGTGGACAGGCAGACATAGCTATGTTGACTCGGCAGTTGATACAGAATATATATATATGTATATTATGAGTTCGGAGCTGTCACATTTGGTGCCTCAATTATAATTCCCTCGGGAAGGGTATACAAGCATTTGCTTTTTGTCTCCAGCCGATTTAGGA